ATTTATTCTTTCATTTGGGAACTTATACATATTAATTGCAGTAGACTACGTTTTTAAGTGGATTGAAGCACGAGCTTTACCTAGGATCCTATTTTAGGAATAAATACATTCAGAGATTGATAGAAAAATTTAATATTCTTATAGAATATTATAGAATATCTACTGCTTATCATCCACAAACCAGTGGGTTAGATGAAATTTTTAATAGAGAGATTAAAGAAATACTTGAGAAGACTGTAAACCCTAGGAGAGTAGATTGGTCCACTAGACTCCACTAGACTGGACTAGACTGGATACCACATTATGGGCTTAAAGGACTGCTTATAAAACTCCTATTGGAATGACTCCTTACATACTGATTTTTAGAAAAAATTTTCACTTACCAATAGAATGAGAATGGGAGAATAAAGCATATTGGGCGATTAAAGAATTCAATTATGATTTGAAAGATGCTGGTATGAAGAGATTGTTACAATTAAATGAATTGGAAGAATTAAGAAATGAATCTTATGATAACGACAGAATTTATAAGGAGAAACTAAAGTTATGGCATGATCTGAAGATTAACCAGAAGAAATTTGAACCACGAAAAGAAGTTTTGCTTTACAATACTAGGTTGAAGTTATTTCCTGGGAGATTGATATCTCGTTGGTTAGGACCCTTTACTGTGACTCAAGTTTATACTTACAGAGCTGTTGAAATTGAAGATCAGAAGACTGGAAATAGATTTAAAGTAAATGGACAAAGATTAAAATAATATTTTTAAAAAGATGAAAATAATATTTTTAAGGTAAAAGACCAAATTTTTAAGAGGTTTTAATGATCAGTCAACCAGAATAACACCTGAATAGGTCGATCTGACGACCAAAATAACACCTGAACAGGTCGATCTGACGACGTTAAACCAAGCGGTTTATGGGAGGCAACCCATAGTTATCTTTATTTTTACTGTGATTATAGTGGTTTTTTTTGAAATTATTGTTAGTTTGTTGTAGTATTGAGCTCTACTACTCTTATTTACCCTTGAATCATCATAAAAATTGGATCCATAAAGAAAAATTAGAACGCATTCGGACCAGATGGTTGCCTTGGCCGCGGCCGGCCCCCTCGACGCTGCCGATGGCGGGTTTTTTCCGAGAGCCCAGGCAATTAATTATAGAAGCCTCGCTGACGGCGAGACTGGCGAGATGGCGGTTTCTGGAGTTTGAATGACGGTTTTTGGCAATTTTTGGTCGGGAATCACCCCTTTTAAACTCCCAAATTTGATTCCTAAGTTCATATTTACTCCAAAAATGAAGTAAAACTCCACCAAATTAAATCTTATGGTGTTCAATTTCTCTGATAATCCCAAAATGTGAGTGTTCAATTGAAGAATGTTCATTAGTGCGGAAGCGCAGTGAATCTTCAACAAGGTACTGATGAAGAAAAGATTGATCAAGGAACGAGGATTCATAAATCGTAGATTGAATAATCCCTCTACAGAAATTGAAGAGATGATAGTGCGACAAAGATGGGAAGTGATGTACCATACTACTGCCGCCGTGGTTGTTCCTGTGGTAAAGGAATTTTATGCAAATTTGCATGGAATCAACCCGGGAGTCATTTATGTGCGAGGTAGATGGATAACTTTCACTCCTACACGGATCAATGAATTATACATGATGGAGAACGTTCCTGTCTGCCATTATTCCAACTTCTTCCCGATAAGAAACCAGATGAATGAGATTTACCAATATTTAACGAACAAAAATGAAGACTGGGAAATGAGAGAAAATGGGTATGTTAGTTTTTCTGCGATACTCCTAAACCCCGTTTCAAAACATTGGCACTTCTTCATTTCTACGAAATTGTTACCGAAAATGAAGATTGTTAAAGTTTCTAAAGAAAGTGCTATTCTAAATTACTGCATCCAAATGGGACTGTCGATCGATATTAAATCAATAAATGTGAAGTTGGTTTTGTGCCTGATCATTCATGGATCAACTTATGGGCTTGGACACCCTTCCACAATTTTCTCACTTTGCAGTCAGTTCCAAGTATCCTACGAAAATTGGGAAAAGGTACTTCTATCTTGGAATCCTTTGGACCCAACTGAGAGTTTCTCAGCTTTTGAGAATGAAAATGACATGACTATTATGGTAGATCAAGCGTCTCAGAATTCACTGTCGATTCAACCCTTAGCTCCTGACAAAACTCTGTTGATCCTGCGCAGAATCAGGAAATTAGAGAAGGAGGCAAAAAATGTCATGAATGCAATTAATAATATCTCCGATTTCTTCAATCATCTAGACTTGAGGAAGAAAGAACATTTTGAACTCTTTGGAATTTTAGAAGATAGTTTGATACAGCTGATGAGGAGGATGAAATTGATAGAAGAGGATTCAACTGAAGAATTTCCATACCACCTTTTTTATAACCTTTTCGTTCATGTGCAATCAATGAGTGATCTCAGAGGAGAATCTAGTACTGAATCTAAAGAGTAGTATATTTATATTGCTACATGTCTGTCTATGTATGTAATTTGATTTGAACTTTGCATTTGCTTTGTTTTAGAATTATGTTTTTAGATCTCTGTATAGTTGAGACTAAGCATAAGATGTTTTGTTTACAGCATTTTGAGTGTTGTGGCTTGGATTGCGATGTTGAATTAGTGTATTGAGGTTGAGAAAATATCAAACTTAGGTGTGTTATGTAACATCAATTGTAACTCTTGGAATTTATATATATATGTGATGTTTTGTGTTGTGAAGGTTTAATTGTGATAAGTACATCATTTAGTCACTTAAAATTATGTCTATAATTATTGAACAGATTTTGTTGAGGCTTGAAATTGATCCAAATTGCAAAAATCTGGAAATTGAACCAAATCAATAGAGCCCGCCGACGGCG